TGGTGCACCAGGGCAAATGTCTCTCTCTCAAGGAATCTTACCTACCCAACAACCACCCTCTCACACGGCCCTACCCATCCACCCACGTCCTCTGAAAGATGATGTACCATCCCAACTAACTGCCTCCCATGGAGGTACGCCTACCCAACAAATGCTGCACCAAGCCGGAATACTCACGAAACCGAACACAATTCCTTCAAACGATCTATTTATATCACCAAGTAGAGAAGTAACTGTGCAGTCTGCCCCACCTATACCGTCTAGAGAACATCGAAGTGGACCAGTCCAGTCACTAGTGGTGGATGAAACGAGACTGAATAAAGTACAAGGAGAGTTGAAAGAAGCTAATGATCAAGTTTATGACTATCAAAATAAATTACAAGTATCAGAAGAAAAATTATCACTGGCCGAAAGAGAGACGATTCGCTTAGAAAAGGTACTGTACGATATACTGTTACAGTACCAACTATGAAATACTACGTGAGTTGCTTTTGACCTTATTCATAAATCATGATCGAGTCCTCGTATTCTAGGATACTATTGTGCCGACGTTAACGGCTTGTTTCTTGTTGTTTATTTTGATTTTTGTGTGTGTTGTAAGATTTTGTGCTCACAACGAAAGCTATAAACGACTATAGTAAAAAACGACCGGTTTTGTCCTGTTTTTTTTGTGTGGAAAGTCTAAAAATATGACAACGTAGCGGTGGTGTTTATTAAGAAGCGAAAAAACAGTACTTTACTGAGATTCTAACGTCAATACATCCGTAAAAAATCAAAGCAAGTCACAACAATGGAATGTAAGTTTATTTTATAATTTGATATGAATATGAAAGAAAACAAGAGTTCAAAAATCACAAGAAAACGTCAAATGTTATTGATTCGCATGGAAAAAATATTAACTGTGCCTGGGCTCGAAGACATTCTGCAAGCAACTTACAAGTTTAAAAAGTAAAAGATACAATACCTGAGTGAGTTGTAATCTTATTTCTTCAGTCTTATTTCTACTTTGATATTTTGTACGATTTTGGTGTTGTAGACTTTTTGTGGCCTTGTAGGCCCTTGCCTTGTTGGTTGGTTGTTTTGGCCATACAAACTATAACAAACAAAAATTTCCTTTTCCGATTGACACCAGCATCTTTTACGTTAAAACATCACATTATATTTTCTCTGAAGTATTATTTCAACTTTCATGCTCAGATTTATGGATATATTTTCGGAAAAAACAGTTTGTGTTTTAGTTAACTTTTTTATTTACTCCTACCATCGCCGACAGCAAAATTTTTCTTGTCAATTTTCCCGCGTTATCCCCCGTTTCCTAGGATACGAGGCCTCATCACGATTTATGAATAAGGTCTATGTGCTTGGAAGACCGGTGCAATATTGGAATTTCAGGCAATGTATGCTATTGATAAATATTTACATAGATAAATTTGAAATAACTGTTTTTAGTCGAAATAGGTCCTGCTATAATGACATTTATAAAAAGTTCTTTTTCCAAATAAAAAAATATGTAAATGTCTTGTCCTTTATTTTAGCTCTTCGAGCACGAGTAAAGAACATGGATTTTCTTGCGCCATCGCATTCTCCCAGAATGCACCACGACCTCGTTTTTCATGTGCTGTATGTGGAATGAACGTGTGGTCTTTATACTCATTTTTGCGCAGCGCCTTTCCTCGTTCATATTGTACATGTCAGCTTCCCTTTTAGAGCTTAGAAGAAATGAAGAAAAAATATACGGAAGCAACAGATGTCGCTAAAGAACAGTATTTAGAAATTGAAAGACAAATAGAGCGATATGATTTATTACAGGTAAAAATATATTCACTCTGACACTACAGAGAACAACGGAAAATTCTGGCTTCTAGATCGTTGCGCTAGCCGTTCAGTTATCGAGTCAGCGCGGGGAGTGGTAGCTAGTTTTATCTCCGAATTGAGTGCACGGAATATTTTGGCGATGACTTAATAACGCTCGATAAACAGAGCTATATCTCTGCATGTAGTGTCAGAATCAATATGAATCTCTGTGGATGGTTCTGAAATAATCACATCTATCGATAGAATAGCAGTGCATGTGTGCCCAGAAAACCACACCATATGCAGTATATATATATATATATATATATATATATATATATATATATATATATATATATATATATATATATATATATATATATATATATATATATATATACCCGAAGGGCGAAGGACGTTTTCAAGACCGATGGCACAGTTTTTCTCATGCGGACCGACGCTGCCGGTAAATAACGTGTTTATTTTTTATCAGATGTAAAAATTAAATTCATTAAAATTCCAGTGTTGCTTGCGAACTAACTTGAGATCAGTGCAGTTGTGTATTTTCAAAGCGAGGCTGACAAAAATTGAAATTTGAAAAGTTGACTGATATAAAACACGATACGAAAACTCGAGAAAACTGGCAAGAAACACACAAAAAGACGTATAGTTTTCAGTAAAAATGTACATGCTTTTTTCATGAATATGGTATAGAAGAGAAGCTTTGGAATAAAAACTTTTATGCCTGGCGTTTTGGCTTTGGCAAAATCAATTGCTCCTGACAACGACAAGTTCATGTTCAGGTCAGATCAAAAACATATAAAAATGAATCTGTTTTCATTTAATCAACGTTTTTCTAATAAAAGGTCAATGAAAATGGTATGTTGTTTTTATATTTTTGTATTTTTTCTTGTCGTTTCACGATAATATGCTTGAAAAAATTGTGTTTAATTTAAACACAAACTTTTACTTTGTTTACCATATTTATATCAGTGAAGAATGTATGACACAAATGGGTACAGAATATATTCGTGACTTGTTTTCACTGCTGCAAATAAAACTTTTTTTAAATGGGAAAACATTTATTTTACAATAACTGTTTAAGCTGTAATTTTTTCGCTTTTAAGTGGCCGAATACATGAGCATTTAAAAAATATGTAGCTTTCTCGACGTAACTTTTATACATGTCGAATAATTTTCCGACATTCAGTCGCATTTCTATAAAAATATTGTCAATTCTGGTGAACATCGTGCTTAGTATGAAGTCTTTAGGGCTTGATGCAATTCATTTTTGTATTCCGACTATCGTTAGGCTATGTTTTTCAAACGTTTTTGGCAGATTTTTTCTTTTAAAAAATTGTTTCACTCCTCAGTTTTTGTCGCGAAAGCCAGAGCGGGCAGTTGCATTTCACAGCGTGCAGTTGCGTTTCAGAGCGGGCCGGATGCAAAAAACCGGCCCGCTCTGAAAGGCTGTCAGCCAATCAGATTGCTTCATTTTCACTGATAAAAAATAAAAACGAAATCTTTTACTATCATGAACGAAAGAAATTATGTATCGAAGAACTTTTTATCTAGATTGCAGTGTCACGTTTCACCAGATATTCGGTTTTCTTTAATAAAGGAATGAAGACATGCAAGCACCCTGGTATTTCTTCCCTCCTATTTAACAAAATCATTTGGAACAGAGTTCATTATGTTCATCCTTAAATAATTTTGATGTCAGCAACCATAATAAAGTCTTCACTAAGATCTCATTTGCAATTGATGTCCATATTATTTACTAGTTACTTTATTTGCATTACTTTATGAAAGAAAATGAAAGATTTAAGCATAGAACCATGTAAGTAAAAATACGTCAAAGAAAGTACTTTACAGTTTTGAAATTGTTCTTTCGTGCAGGATAATAGACAGCTTCGTGTCATATTAAGCCCTAGCTTCACTATACTGTATATGATACTCTATGTATGGTCAAGCGATATTACATGCTATTTAAGCCAACGATATTATTTAATCAAAGCTGTTTCTATTTTCTAGGATCAACACGAAGAGCAGTTAAAGAAATTGAGGGAGGCAGGACAAGAGTCCTTCGCATTAATTGTGGAAGAATACAAGGTGTGTCATACTGTAAATGAATAAGTGATCAGGAGCGAACACATCACGAAATAATGTGGGTGCGACTTTAGGTTGCCAACATACTCTCTCTTGATGCTGCGAACCTCAGTTTCGAAACCTTATAGCCAACATTTCTTGGTTTTTGCTTAAATAATAGCCAAACAAGGCTTTCGTGTATGTAGAATCATTGTTTCATGTTATTAAAGGAATACCGAATGGTTTTCCGTGCAAGATTGCGTGATCCATGCACGCGGGATGTTGCGAGACTTTCGGAAAGCATAAAAATAGACGAGCCGTAGGCGAGTGTATTTTTACGCTTTCCGTAAGTCGAGCAACATCCCAAGTGCATGGATCATGCTATCCTGCACGGGAAAACCATTTGGTAATTGTTTTATAAAATTACTACAGTGAAACGACGCTTAACTTGATTAAAATTACTGATGAAATGTTCAGTTCTCACAACATTCGTGAATTAACCAATCAGAGAATCGCTAATCCACACTATTGAAAACAACAACATATGTGAACAGAATTTGATCGCAAATTCGCGAAAATATACAGCGAAAATACAGGGACTTTTTCGATAAAATATACGAAATTTGAAATGGAAAACCCGCTAAACAGAGAGCCAAAGTAGTTTTGAAGATTCTCGACCTGAATATGTCAAGATTGCGAAGCGTTTGATCAACTTTGAAGACAGAGATGTTATACTTGCATGCCATGGTCTGATGAATTTCAACGCTACGCGTTGCTACTTGCTGAATAGCAATGTATTGATCAGAAATTTATTCATACAACTATACCAACGTCTCAATAATTGGAAACTTACTTCAAAGTCGAAAGGTATCATAAAATGAAACTTTACAATGCGAGTATATTTGTAAAATTATATCCAAGAATTTCTGTTCAGAATTTCGCGTGCAGGATTGTCTGATCCTGCACGGCTGTTGACCAATCAAATTGCGTGTTTCACTGTAGTTATTATATAAACTGTTTTACTGCATAGCTAAATACCTAAAATCCGCCACTGCAAATGGTGTGCGAATGCAGTCAATGTCAGAGGTCATTCTGTATAACATGATACTATACTCATGCTCAATATTTTAGCTGTTTTAAAGAACCATCATGGAACCTTCTGTGTTGATCCTAATGTGTCAGTCCAATGTTTTTTACTTCTTCAGGAATTATCAAAAACTGCCGTCGCCCAGGAACGAGAGAAGAACGAAAAACTCCTGCAACGAGTACTAGAAGAAGAAAGAGAAAAATTTACAACATTCGTCAATCAACAGGTTTATGTAGTATTAATGTATTTTAATATCTTACTATAAACAACAATATATTAGTGTAAACATTTAACGAATGCTACTGTATATTACTTGACTACTGTTTAATGCACCAATTCGTTAAGCAAATGTTCTAGGACAATTAAGAAAACAACTATGACACACACAATGTTGTGGGAGAAGGGTTGTCGAGGAGAAATGCTCCGATTATACTTTAAACTGTGGCCAAAGTGTCGCCCCACAGACTCACTATTACAGCAATATGATTATGATATAATTATATGTCCTCAGGGGGTCGTGGTTCCCCCATGTTGGACTTTACCCAAGGGGTAGTAGATCCCCGAGATGTGCATCCTAAATGTCCAAGGGGTAGTAGATCCCCGTGATGGTCATTGTTTACTTTAATGTCCAAGGGGTAGTACATGTAGATCCCTGTGATGGTCGTTGTTTACTTTACAATACACTGTATAATACATTGAATTGTGTGAGTCTATGGGGTTGAGGGTGACCTTTGGGAGCACTCCATCCCCAAACAACCAAATATTTTTATTTTTACAACCAGACTTGCAAAGTCAATTCCAATACTGTATATTACAAAATATAGATGTGCCTGTAATAACATATTATTAACCAGTAACTACTCCATAATACTTTATCTATAACACTATATGAATTGCATTTCATGTGAATCTTGATGACGGATTGCATATCAAAACAATATTTGCAGATTTGTATTTATTATGTGATACGAGTTATGATATAGTGGTGCAAAATTCTTGAAGGGTGGGATGGGTGGTATTGGAATTCCCCACCGTTTTATATACATTAATCCGCGGTTATAAACCTGCAACCTTATCCTTAGTTCAGCATATACATGTAACAACTGTCAACATTTCACATGTATGTTTAGGGGGAGAATCTTAAGCTGTTGGTGAAGGAAGAACAAGCGAATAATTTGAAGAAGTTAGAAGATGGTTTAGAAGAACAGAAAACAAAACATCAAGTGAGTTATAACTGTATGTTCTGCCAATATTTACTTGGCTTGATAGTTGATATATACACTGTAACACAGAGTGTCTCAGAATCTATATACATGTATCACTGTAAGTCTCGACTTTTGAGCGAATCGCCATATTTAAAATCATATAGAATGAGGGGGGGGGGGGGCAAAAAAAAAAAGCCTCTAAGGGGGTACCAAAATCTTAGTACTATAGGTACGGGAAACAATTACATTTTATAACTATTGTTGAATATTGAATGTATTTGTGCCCAGATTTAATTATTATTGTTGAATATTGAATGTATTTGTGCCCAGATTTTTTCTATAATTATTAAATCATCACAAGGTATATGTTTTAGTCGGATTCAGTATCCGTTGAACTTTTGGAGTACAAATCTGATACACCTGAATTGTCAATGCTAACAAGCTCACACCGGCATTAGAACTTGATTAACCCGATGAGGAAGTGTCACATTGAATGGAAGCAAATGTTTTCTATTTGAGATAAACCCCAAACAAGTTTTTCTGTTTGATCTTACCCTCAGCCCATCGCTAGTATGTCAGAATCAGAAAAGCCTGATGACGAATCGGAGACTGCGGAAAATGTTGAGGATATGGTTACCACTACAAGAAGTGGGAGAGTTATCACAAACTGGAGAGTTTCGAAATATAGATAAACGCAAGACAAATGTCAAAACAGAATTAATGATAGAACGGGGGGTATGAAAATTTTCACTTACATTGAAGGGGGTTACGAAAATTTTTCCATAGGTTTTTGGGAGGGTATGGAAATATGTACTTGAAATTTCATTTATCCTCCACCCCCTCTAGTAATTACTTTATGACCGGTCCCTAATTACGAATACTTCATGTTGAAACAATGTTTGGAAAATATAGGCGAGGGGTTGTTGCATTCATGTATTTCTAGTAATAAATTGTAATCTTCATATTATTAGACTGAATTGAATGAATGTCTTGAAGAAGAACAGTTGCGTGGAAAGGAAGCCATTGAAAAGGCTGTAGAGGTACAACATTGTAGTTTGATAGGGATACAACTACCTGAAAAATACCAGAAGAGCTTCGGCGTTTTGAGCGAACTAACCTCCCGACGAAAGGCCTTCGCTCGAAACGTCGAAGTACTCCTTAGTCTCCTTGTATTTTTCGGGTAGACACTGGAAACAAATTTGTGAAATCCAGACAATGGAATTTGCAATTACATTACTAAATCCATAGTACATCCATATTATTTCCATACAATATCCATAGTATGGAAATTGCAATTAGTATGAAAATTGGATTTCCATACCACTTCCAACAAACATCAATGCTATTTTGAAAACAAATTCCATGAAGTTGTATCTTTATCAATCCGCAGCTTTCTTATTATTGGTACTACCTACACTGATCATGACTGACACATGCAGACCTTTCAAGATTATCGTACAGCATTGTACACCCTTCTCTTTGGCCCTTTCACTTTGCCCGGTGGCTTTGTTCTGGGCGAGCGGATGAAATGCTAGTTTTCGACAAGGAAAGACTTGTTGTTGTGATGATATTAATTCGTGGGATAAAATCAGCTCGCTGAAGTTATTGCGTGTGTAAAGGCCCATTTCCACTCAAGCAGAATTTCCACGGACAGAAAGTTTCCCGAAAATATCATTGTTAAGAGATGAAAGTATTCATTTTACCAACGAAAAATATGTATCGGCCAATCACATTTTGCAAAATTTTCTGCGGAGAATTTTCCTGAGTGGAAATGGGCCTTAAAATGTTGTCTTTCTAATTTGTTTGAGATGCAAATGCATACGTAGTGAATTGAAAAATACGGCTAGATTACTATGACGTAACTATTGTACTGTACAGATTGATTCTCCTTAATATTTACATATCCTGCTACCTACCGTCAGGGCCTTTCAGGGGGGGGGGGGGGCAATTTGCCCCGGGCCCCCCCATTTGCAAATTAAAAAAAAAATTGGAAGTTTTCTGATATAAATAATGGTACGATAAAAAATTTTCTAAACCTAAATTTTAAAAAGGGATTTATCCGGAAAAATTTTTGTGAACCTGAATTTAACTGATGTTCGTCCCGAAAAATTTTTTGAACCTTTTTTAATGTCCGGGAAAATTCCCCCCTCCCCCGCTCGCCAACATTTTTGGGGAAAAATAGGGGGCCCGAAATAAAAATTTGCCCCGGGCCCCCGAATTTCTCTGATAGGCCATGCCTACCGTAGTCTTGTTAATATGCATGAATATTTACATGCTACTAAAACTTTCCAGGAGGAACGAGCTCGTGGGAAAGCATTGACGGAGGAGTTGACAAATAATCAGAAAAAAGAATTCGAAAATTTTATGGCAGAGCAAAAGGTATTTAAAGTTGTAACACAATACTGTTTGTGAATGTATAGTAATCTAACTCTCCTCAGTAGTTTCACGTGAAGGGAGATGATGTACTACTTCTGGTAAAGAAAGTAGAATAAATAACAACAATTGAATAATAATATACATCCATAGGCAGCCCAGCAAAATGTGTATTCACTTAAAAATGCATTAAACGCTTAAAACTACGTATAAAGTTCGTCTCAATTTGCTATCAAGCGATTTATTTGTGTAGCTCATTATACATGCAGATTCCGATGTTTACGTCATTGTATTTTCATATAGTATAATATCCTAAGGCGGGCAACTCTTACAAAAACATTCACACACACTATTACCTTCGCTTCAAACAACAACAAGAACACCGCTACTTTCTGAAAAAAAAAACTAGATACAAAACACCTTGGATATAATATACTGCAGTCATGATTTTTCCTCGGAATTTGCCGATTTTCAGCAGCCAATGAGCAATAGCCGATGATTTTTCCGATGATGACGATTGTGAAGCATTTTGCATAATAGTGTGTGTAAATGTTTTTGTAAAAGAGTTGCCCGCCTTAGGATATAATACTATATGAAAATACAATGACGTAAACATCGGAATCTGCATGTATAATGAGCTACACAAATAAATCGCTTGATAGCAAATTGAGACGAACTTTATACGTATGTTTAAGCGTTTAATGCATTTTTAAGTGAATACACATTTTGCTGGGCTGCCTACTGTATGATAAATCTGAACAAACCTTATCCGGACACGCACTGTGAAACACAATCTCTGCTTCCCTCATCCACTGTTGATTTCCAATATGATATGTACTTGAGTGCTGCGATGTGCCACCCACATTTTAAAATATTTTCAGCAATACTGAAATTCTGTTTGTCGTAAAACTGTAACTTGAAAATTCCTGAATGTAAGTATAAAAAGGCATGCATAAATAAAGAGACATTAGAAGTCCAGGTTTTGTGGTTGTAAGTTTTGACTAACAATCTCTAACCAAAAATTTTCTGCGGCTGTATAATGATGTGTTTTTTCGCTTTCAGAAAATATTTGAAGAAAATCTCGCAGACGAAAGGAAAGGGACGGCCAAGCAAATCAAGGAAGTTTTAAAAGAAGAACAAGAACGAGCAAGGGTAACTTAAAAATTGTTGGAAAAGCGTAAATGAGCTGGTGAACATCTTGAAGCACGTGTATTCCTACGTACGACAGTTTTACGTTTCTTAAACATTACACTCCATTACACCAGCGACTATACTTAACATGTTCCAACACTGCGAATCTGACAGACATTACTTGCACTAAAAACGTGTTTCTAGTCAGGGGACGTTTAGCTACGTTTTCTAGATAAGCGGTGTTTCAAAGAGAAGGGCGCCAACTCTATTGCAATTTTCTATTAAGGTTACAGGACACCCTTTTTGGCGTTTTGCGGAAAATCGCTACTGCGCGCTCAATATCAGTCCGATTTGAATCAAATTTTCACCAAATGTTCGCCAGTGTATGCAAAATATGGTAAAGTTGTAAAATTAACAAACAATAAAATAATATAAGAATTATTCAGGAAAATCTTAAATCGCGGTACCGTTACGCTTTTGAGTTATGCTCCTGCTGGTTTTAAGTTATATTTATGAAAATATCATTTTTATACAGTAAAATAGTTATTCTAAAAAATTGTGTTCGGAATTTTTTGTTTATTTCGTTATTCCGCTGATATGGCGATTTCTTTGACGACTGCAATATATTTCTGAATTGTTTGAGTGAATTGCTCTTTATTATTAAAATATCCAAAATTTAAAAAAAGCCGAACACCATTTTGAAACTGACGTCTTTAGCTATGTCCTGTGAAAATTTGAGAAAAATTGGTCAAAACCTGCAGGAGCACAACTCGTTTAAAAATCAGTAATTGCCGTAAAATTCTTCAGGAGAAAATTGAATTTGAATATTACATTTTCAATGTTTTTCTTATTGCAGCGAATTGTATTTTATTAAATAACTCTGCGAGTTTTCAACATTTTTCGTTCAAACTTGGTCAGATAGTAGAACTAGTCTAGTGCTTTCATGGAAACCAATAAAAAAAATTTAGGCAAAATTAACCCTCAAAGGTGTTCTGTAACCTTAAGAAAAGACTACCTCCTGATCCTTTCCGACCATGAATGGAACAGATTTTGGCTACGTTTACACTATAAAGGCCCGTTTACACGGGCGATTTTTGCTGCGATTTTAGTTGCGATTTTCTCGTTTTGGAGGATGAGTATAGATTACTAAATGATGTTGTTATGAGATTTCATAACCTGGAACATTTATAACTGATCTACTCCTTCACATCCTCCAACATGAGAAAATCGCAACTGAAATCGCAGCAAAAATCGCCCGTGTAAATGGGCCTTAATGGATAGCTTTCCATAGCGGCGGCGCGATAAAGCACCTATCCGGAACGGAATGTACAACTTTCAGAAGCTGAGCGAAAAAACATCTCTCCGTTGCAACAATTTCTCTGAAAATAGCGTTCCTATAAAAGGTACGGTTAGGTATTTTTTCACGTCGCTAGCTATCCGGTACAGTGTAAATGTAGTCTTACATTTTTCATTCCATTCTTAGAGGTACAGTAGTGGTGAAATCTAGAACTTCTTTATTTACTAATGTACAAAGAGAACCCCTACGCACAGTAATAAACTTTGTAATTTAGTATAGCATAACCCTAATCAAACGAAGATGTGAGTCAATGAGAGACAGCATTTTGGGAGTTTGGTGAGAGTTTTATCAGCCGTCATGCTCAGATCAAACGAGAACAAAAGTTTCATGACAGTTCACTGGATAGTACAGCGTGTAAACACCTGTAATCAAGTCTCGTGAAAGTTTAAATCGACCCAATGTTGATGAGAGTTGGGCGGTCATCCACTCTCATTAAGTCATTGATTTTTAAAGCGGGTCTAATTTTGTAATTACTGTATTGTGTAATTATAGTTCACTAAAATGCAGGCATTGCTGCGCAGTAATGCCTTTTCGATGTTCGCCGATTAGCTGTTTTAAGGAAAAACGTAACGTCCAAGTTAAATAAGCACAAGTCACTCCGTTACTAGAAATGCATTTTTTTATGTATAGAATGATTTAGACGAAGCAATGGCAGAAGAACGTGAAAAAACTCGAGATGTTGTCGCTGTTATTAAAGAAAAGACGAAAGAAGATATCGGAGAGTATATAAAAGAGAAGGAAAAGGTTTGTGACTCTGGAGGAAGAGCTAGTGGAACACTTTGACTTCACTGCTTGTGGCTTCAATTAAGTGGTGTTTAACTTATAACTATTTTTAGCACTTGTGATTAGGGCAAGCTAGACATGACAATTGGTTGCCTGCAGAATAAAATTTACTTGCTATCATGTCTAGTTTTCATGCCCTCACATATTAGCATAATTTGAAGCAAATGATTGCATGCAGTAAATGTTGATTTAATGAACATTCTAATCTTATATATATTTTCCTTAACAAAGTAATTTCAAGACTTAATCATGAATTGTTGATTTCAGCTGATTTGCCAATATATAAAGAATCAAAAACAGAATGCATAACATAAACAAGCAAACAGTAATTCATTTTGTGTAGCAATTAATCAGGCAACCAAGAAGCAACTTCTACATGCGTGAGAGGGGGGGGGGGGGGGGGGGGGGGGGGGCGGGCGAGGGGTTGCAGTTTAGAGCCTTCTGGAATATATATTTCAACTTGATTTGGTTTGATTGTATTGCGTTATTCTAGATTAGAATTTTTTGATGTAGTCTGTGACGACCTATGGGAAGTAAATACTTACCTTATAGAAACCGAAACAAATTTTCATATGAAATTGTAGATATGGAATCATGAGTATTTGAAACAGAAAATCGTACGGATTACAATCAATTTCGACCGAGAGAGACAAGCTTACTAGAAATATGAACTTAATATGTATTTCACCGGAACGCAGAAACGCCATCTAACATAAAATTCCTGACCAATTGATATTTATGTCTAATCATTGCTTATCAATTTATTTCTTATGAGGGAGGAGAGGGAGGGGAGGGATTGCAACTTAATAGGGAGGGTGTTTATTAAATTTCTTCCTTTAGATAATAAAGGAGTGGGCATATTAGAGAGGGCTCCAGGCGTTTAATATTTCAGAGGGCGGGGTTTAATAGAGCATTTATGCTACTAAATCAAGTAACCCAGACAGATATCGGTAAAGTGTAAAACGTTTTCCATTACAGGATAACAAGTTCTTTGTTACAAAATCAACCTGACGTTCTCCTTGACGATGTCTTTTGAGTTTTAACTGACGTTATTTGCGAACACCGCCGGGTTGACAATTAAAAATGTTTAGTCGCCCAAGGGGATACCAACGAATAAGATCTGCATGGTCACCAAATTTAATATCAGGTCTCCCTATATATTATTGTGTTAAGATATTTGTGTATAAATCACATAACTACCGGCTGTTTAATATGTTTCCAAATTTTGTGCAAAAGCAGAATGAAATGCTTGATCACCGAGATATTTTAAAGCTTTAGGATTACTTTATTATATTAAGTTTTTTCTCAATCATTATAAGAGGGCTAACTTGGCAAATATCTGGTCACCAGATGAAAAATTTGATGACCTGGCGCCCGCTCATATCAAACCCTGTTTGCGAATGATTGCATCCTCAGTCTTTTAAGATATACGGATATATGTCAATCCTAACGTTTTTATTAACATTCTTGTAGGCTGATGAGGCTGTACGACTACGGAGTTATCAAAGCATGGATCTGTTTTTACAGGGAGTACAAACCCAACTTCGTTCTCTCGTCAACAATAGCGATATCCCACCATCTTCATAAAATATAGAGTGTATAGTTAGATAGTTATTAACCCATTTAGAATATGAATACGATAGTGCAATATTTTCAATAAACATTAGGTCGAGTGTGTTTGGTTGAGTCAAGAACTCTGAAGAACTCTTACATACGTTGGGGGTACAGAAAGACACAGATAAAAGAACTTGCCATTGCCACAAACACACTCGACTATTTCAGGTAGTAACATTTGAACATTTAACACCTTCAGTAACGTAACTTACCCGTGTAGATAGTTATAGGTGCAAAGGGTGCAGTTTACCAAACATTTGCAATTATTTGGATCCAGGTTAATTAAGGGATATGTTGCAATTTGGAGTATCGACATGACCATCCGTTTGCACCTATCTCACCGAGTTACTCGGTGGAATTGAAGCGATTCCGAATGCCCGTTTCAAGGGTGGGATGGTGGGATTTTCCAACTTGTATTTGAAGTAAACTGGCGATATGTATCCGCCTGGCAATGCCGCACTGGCCACAATGAACTGACACATGTTATAGTATACTCTTCGCCTTTGTAGCATGAAACCCATCCCCAGGCTCCCCGCGCGCTGTTCGTTAGTTGTTGACCTTGGTTATTGCATAACCTCGTATACTTTCGTAAAGGTCAATTAAAGGCCCTGTTACACGGTGCAATTTTTCATGCAACTTGTCTCGCAATGTTTAAAAAAAAATTTGATAATGCATTGCAAGAGGTGTTACACGCTGCAATGATATTCATGCAACTCGCAACGATACGGGACAGAGGCATGCGAAGAGAATAGGGAGAGGCGCTATTTGGCGCCAAATTTTATTTAAAGTAAAGCGTGTACTGGGGAGAGCCAATGGGAACTCTCCAAGCATTAAGCATTGCGAGACAAGTTGCACGAAGCCATGTTACACGCTGCAATGCTAAAAATAATTAGTGCAATCGTTGCCAAAAGTAGAACCGACTTCTACTCTCTGCAATGCTTCATGCAACTTGTCGCGCAACGATTTTGACCATTGCAAGGCATGTTAAACGGTGCAATGACTCGTGCAACTTGTCTCGGAACGCCATTGCGAGACAAGTTGCATGAAAAATTGCACCGTGTAACAGGGCCTTAAGCCAAGGTATACTCAGTCGCAATAAATTTTTGTAGATAATTATGTAGGCGTTAACTGTGTTGGTTGATTGCATGCCGGAATTAATGTGAATTATAATTGTTTAATATTTGTGGAAACATCACGTTCATTTTATGTTACTAGCTTTCAATCTATAAGCCAGCATGGATCTTGCCCAGTGTAGTTATTATAGTACCAATGAATTTGAATTTTTACCAATGAACGAACTTGAATCCGACGAAACGTCGCGAAAGCCGAGGCAAGGAAGTAAACGTGCATGTCCATGCACAAAAGAAAACAATTACGTGTGTTGTTGCTAATTACCTACAAACTCAAGGACTTTATTGTGGTTTATTGCAATTATGGAATAATTTATGGCATGAAGACAAAAAAGTGTCTTTAATTAAAAAAACAATATACGGTTGACGTTAAAAAAAAAGCAAAATACGTGATCGCGAGTATCCTTTTATCTCCAAACTGCAGCAAATAGAAATATTAAGAAACTGAATGTCTACGAAGTCCTCTCTTCTGAGATATTTGCCCTTGTCATGGGCATGGCCATGAAAACAGGATAGTTTACCGTAAAAGCAACGAAAGTTTTACATGTTCTTTTAGACTGAAATCCAGGCTTAAGCTTAAGCCTGGATTTCAGTCTAAAAGAACATGTAAAACTATAAAATAGATTAATGTTGAAAATGTTTAGATTATCTCTTTTCGTTCTGGAGATATTTAATTTTGTTTGATATGTAAATGAAATAAATCTATGACATTACAGGCGAGTAAAATATTTGCACGGGCGCATGAAGTTTCGTTAAAATCATAAGCTATATATATAACTGTTTAAAAATGATGACATAATTCAAACTATATTGTTGATTGCTTTGACCAATTTGCACACAGAAAGTTATGCAGCGTATAGTTAATTAGACAGTGTGGTATTGAAATTCTTCAGAGAGATATTGTGTTCTATTTGGGTCTGCATGTGTATAGTGCCAACCATGCGAGGCCACCCTAAACAATCTTGCGGTAAATTCCAAGTAAATCTTAACCTAAATAAAATATTTAGTACGTTGCAAAATAAGTAAAAATTGAGATATTGCAACGGCTCGCATGCAGGTATTCTTTCATGGCTCCCGTGCCATTAATATGTGATTTGCATGCTGGGCTGTAGCGAAGAGGCTAAAGCAGCGGGGTGGGGTGTAGTATTGCATTTGCCGACAACATTTCAGTCGGTAATTAATATTTCTTTTGCAGAAATTGTTGTCGAACTATTACTTTTTAATTCCAGCCACTCAAATATTCCAAATATTCTCGCTGAGTACGAAAACATTTTGCCGATAAATCCGTTATTTTGCCAACATGATCATGATCCAAATGATCCACAAAAAGCAAATGATCGAAATGATCCACAAAAAGCAAATGATCCAAATGATCAACGAAAAGGAAATGATCCAAATGATATACAAAAAAGAAACGATCCAAATGCACTAGCCAAAAAGCCTGAAGATCCAAAAGAAATACAGTAGGTAGCTAAAACTATTATTATATTTTAAAAAACGAAGAACAAGTCGAAATGATATTATCTCCTATTGGTGTGAAGTCACTCTCGACTTGTGACGTCACCCGTGACTTGGTATATCGCGCGTAAACCTTTCAGCGGTGTATCCCCCAACACACACACACACACATACACACAAACACAAACACGCACGCACGCACACACACACACTCTATCGTCTATAGCGACGTGTTTGCACGGCGCGCAATCCTGTTTTGCATGCCTCGCTGGTGTGGCTGGTATGACTCTCTGGCTCACATATTAGATATTAGGGAGTTTACGATCTACGACGCGGCCGGCTAGACGACGCGCTTTTAAAACAAAGAAATTTGGTGCTTCCACAAACAATAGTCTTATGTGTTTTATCGCCATGCAAACCTACAAAGAACTTACAAAGGAATTCGTCATGTAAGACAAAAACTGTCAATAATTTCTGGTCCCATGAGTATTGTCAACCGCGTTGTCATTCTCAACACAACGTTAAAAAAGCATTATTACGTCTTTCAGGGAACGCGAAAGCTTAATGCCACACAAGAGGTGTTACTAAAAGTTGAAATTACAGCAAACATTGCATCGCTTTAGCCGAACGTAGCATTTTGTAAGGTTATTTGAAAGAGTCAAATATTTATTACAGTAATCGAATTGCTTAGCGCTCATTCTTGAGATAAAATTTAGACCGCGTCGTTGAACCGGCCGCGTCGCAGATCGTAAACTCCCTATTATAGACTACCCGCCATCGGGCCATGTAATCTAAATATGCCTAGAGCACCATCGACTTAACGCTCTGTAGAGCGTCTTGTTATTGTCGATCTGTGCTGCGAGTAATTAAGGTACTAAGGGCCATTTTACGTTTCAATGCAAAAAATGAACGTCTCACGTCGAGCATTTATGAAACTTCAAATCGTAATTTGAAGTCAACTGTTAGCTGTTCGAAGTTAGGGCAACTTGTGCACTAAAATTGCAGCATGAATTAGCTGTCAAAACTGTAGGCCTTACTTTCAAATACGATTTGAAGTTTGCGGTTCAATCTTAAAGTTGCCTTTCTTGACCGTTACTCGTTAGTCTAGATTTACGTTTTCGAAACTAATTGCACCATTGAAAGCTCAACCTCGTACCCAGGCTCTTACCTTCGCACAAACCCTGGGTACGAGGTTGCTGAAAGCTCAGTACATTCTCGTACCCAGAGCCCTTCTTACGCGCGGTGCGACGAGGGGCTCTGGCCAAACCCATAACCGGATACCATAAAAACATGGTAAAAAAAACAATGTCCAGTGTTAGAACTAGCCGATCAGATGCCAGTTCAGAATATGGATTTGGCCAGAGCCCCTCGTCGCACCTCTGGGTACGAGAATGAGCTCAGTACTGAAAGAGTTTTTTAAAGCCAACGGATACCAAAGCATCGCTCTACTTCATGATGTTCGCATACCGGCCTCAAATAAATTCTCATTTCCCCGATCGGAAATTATCAGCGATATGGCTCACGGCTATAGGCATGTAAACCACGGTTACGTCACGAGAATAAAGTTCACATTTCACGAGAACAATTTTAGTAATTCACAGCTCGCGAAAAGCTATACGGCAAAGACCGTATCCAAAACTGCGGACCTTTCCTCTCGCCCAAAAAAAAACGTGTCCTGTGCTTGAAATATCAATTCTCCTCTCCTCTACTCTAAGCCTTCAAACAAAGTTATTTTTCCTCAACCTCGTCTAATTTATTGCCTGATTATTTTCAAATACGACGTCCTATGTCGCAATTGAAGAATGGACGTGGTGATGCATTATATTTTAATTACAGAGCTCAGGTGTCTTACTGTCAGATGTCTAATAAATATGCACTAGTTAATTTGGATGGACTTTGAGACTCCGTAGGCCGCCCCGCTACAGCCACCCACTTCGAATCTCGCACAAAATAGTGAATGCCCTGAAAATCGAGAAAGCAAATTTCCTTTTGCCCCTCATGCGAGAATCTTCGAAGATAGAGATAAGTGAATAGCACTCACTAACTTCGACCTATTACAGTTATATATTGCTTATATATACGCTGCCAACGCACTTTCATCTCATTCAATTTCAAAAAGACTGTTTGATATATTGCCATGGAAAAGTCTGCAGTGAAACAATGTTCCCAGCATGGTTGCTTTACCACTGCCTGGGTTATTAATGATACTATTTCCATATTCTTCAATAGTTTATACTTCTCATTTCATGCTTGGTGGCCACTGCATTCATCTTTCTGTACATTTGCTCGTGATCTTCGTATACAGTTCTGATCGTCATGTAATGATAGAAAGAAATAAAGTTTGGTGAAGTACTTCTTGTGGATACCACGAAGTATTAACCTTCAAAAGTAAGTTACATTTGATTTTTACACTATTGTTTCATATAGCAACAGTATACGAATGCTTGCAGCTTGCAAATTTCAAAATTTCTGTGTCGTGGTGTGAAGAATTTTAATCCTAAAAATTTAGTCTTAGAGAAAGAACCGATAACGAACCCAACTCCAAAACCGTAATCTTCTAGAAGCTGTTTTCTACATACATATATCAGGGTTCGTATGCTTGAAAGTGTTATGATTTTTTTTTGATCTCTTTTTGAATTGTATGGAAAAGTTAAGAAAGTCTTTAAATTAAAAGTATTTGAATTCGTTAGTATTTGATAATTATATACGATTCACCTATAGCTAATAGAATCGGTTGCGGCAAGGTTTTCACAAATATCGAAAAGAAGCCGCGTTTTATAGGATATGATTTTTTGGGGGTATAATTACCATTAAAATACCACAGCAGAGTGCACTCAAAACTTTTTGGACAGTCTTTGCAAATAGATGGACAAAATCTTTGAAATTGTTTGTGAATAGTCTTGAAGACTATACGAGCCTTGCATAGGCGGGTTTTGCTGTGCAGACGGCAGCTGTCAAAGTAAGAAAATTTGAAGCATGTTGTTCTTTTGTGTTCTTGTTTTGTGGCAAATAAGTTAATTCATCTAAAGTCCCTACCATTTGCTATGCCGCTCACATTCAGACCCGCCAATTCAGAGCACGGTGAATGTTTTACTCTGTACACGGTGAATGTTGTTGAACTCTTTGAAACATTGCTAAACCAATGCCAATGAGCAATACCAACATTTGATTTGTCTAACATGTAGCAGGATCCTATTTTCATTGCTAATGCCCTTGTGTGTATTTATACTGTAAATGTATCTTTAATTAAGCAAGGTAAGCGCGCATTCCCTCGTCAAACAGTAAGAAGAAAAATACCAACATATATCAACACGCGAAATCCTTTTATTTAATTTAGCAAATTTCAGCTAAACTATTTCGCAACTAATTAAAATGCAGGTTGGTTTGGCATGTTAATGCCTCGCGATCATCTTCTGTATCTTTGAATTGGTGGAAATCAGCTTTTTTATTATAAGCTGCAACCGTTTTGTTTTTCGTCTAACCATGCATGCAGTTGTACTTTGCAAACACAATACTAACGCCAAGCATATTGTTTGTGAATGCACTCGGATTAAACGAGGATGAGAGTTCGCCATGATAATTGGCAGTCCCGCTACCTTGGTTTGCTACAGGTAGTTATTGCTTTTCTCAGTTAAAGCTTTCCAAACACTATCGCGTGTATTTTATTTGAGTTAAAACATAGTTGGAACACTAATCAAACCTTTATTTGATCATCAACTCTCGTTTGATTGGGGCTCTAAAATCACGGTATTATCAGCAGTCCTGAGCTAAAAGCCCGTTTTCATTCACCGCTCGATCTTGTTTATTTACTAGTGATATTCTTCGTTCAGTAATAGTGAGACAGTTATTACTTGTTGATGTTTTCTAAGTCTCGTCCTATATGGACAGTATATCTATATTTACGCGATGGAACTCAATTTGATGGTGATATTTTATATATACAAGTGCATAGTCATGTTATTGTCCTCTTTCATGTTCGAGTTTATTGAATATTATAGTTTTTGCGCTATAGGGGTCATTGTAAAATCTCGTTTGAATTAGCTGTAATATGTATACCGCCGCCCAAACCCTGAGAAGCCATGACACATGATCGAAATTAGTAAAACCAAAAAAAACGCTGAATCAGATATATCTAATGAATAATGTTTGCGTCTATAAGAGCAAACACGTCGAGGTATGGATTCATTAGAAAACTTAAATTAAATAAGATGTATATAAAAATAAATATTTCTTTAGCATGCATTGAACATGTCAGGGTCGTCTGCTAGAGTAATTCCTGAATCAAAATCTGTAAGTTGATAATTGGTC